GGAGTTGAAGTCCGGACATCTTCAAGTTGCCAAGGTTGGGAAACACTGGCGAATGCTGGCTGGGGAATTCTGGGAGTTGAAGTCCAGACATCTTCAAGTTGCCAAGGTTGGGAAACACTGGACTAGGCTGCCTTCATATGTGTGAGATACACACTTTTCAAAACAGCAGGGAAGGAAGGAAAGAAAGAACTCTTTTCTTTGGTGAAGCAGAGTGAAACTTTCCATGCTGTCTGCAATTTATTTCCAATTGAATTCACTGGCACTGATAGGACAGGGTTGGCCAATAAACTGTTGGTGCCATCCATTTTGTTACAGCATCAACTTTAAAAAAAACAAAACGGAGCAGTATTTATGTTAGCAGATGAAAAATGTTCCTGGTTTTCCCTTTAAAAAAATATTAGATCCAATAATGTACCTTCCATTTTCAGCGAAAGAGGCTATTTCCCAACAATGCTTTAAATATTTATGATAAGCAACAGACCAAAAATTAAAAAATGCAACTCATTCTTGGAGGAATACCAATTGAGATCACTCTGGTAATATAGTCTTTTAAAAAAGTAATCAGTTTAAAATAAATGTTTGCTGCTGCTATTGAGACTAAACTTCAGGTATACAAACAAAAGAAAGAAATTGGTCCAAGTGTGATACAGATGGAGGGATTCCTTCAGTTTTTGCATAAAATAGAGTGTCTTACTTCTTTGTCCCTTGTTCTTTTACATTAATGTGCCAGTTATTTCTTAGGTTTAGCATTCCCTTTTTTGTGTATTTAAGTGCTATTCTCATTTCTAATAAGTCAGTCTTCACAAGCAGTCATGGCTGAAATTGCTAACAATGTAATTGTACTGCCAATGACATGGCAATTCAATCCTAGTCAGATCCACTCTCCTGTCCTTTCTTCTTACAGTCCTGCCTTCATAAATATGTGTTTCAGTAATCTATTTTCTATTAACTACCCGGTATGAAACATTATGAAGTTTTTTTTAGGAACCTTAAATCAATATTTATCAATATCTAACTATATTACATGAAATAATTCTTAATGTACTCTTAAAACCTTTTTAAAGGTATTATTATTTTACAGTAAAAAGAGAAATTAATATTTTGACAATTTTTAAAGAATGCAATACGATTTAATGATAATGCTGATAACATTTATAATTGTGGCCTCTCTTTAGCAGATCTCTGGGTTTAAAATATTTTGTTTTGTTTTATGCAAAAAACATGCTTTACCCTGATTAGGTTTAACTTCATAATTCCATTCCATAATTGCCACTTTATTATAATAAACCAATTTAACTTTTCCAAATCTTTTAATGACAGATTGTTTCAAGACTGAATAGATGAACAAACTAACTGGTCTGAGCAGATTTTATTTTATTATGCTTTATTTTAATGACAACCAACTAGCCTCGGAAGAGCTAATTGGAAAGTACATAGGATTGAATTCATTGAGTGTTGAATGCTGAAATGTGATTTCTGCATGAGATCTGTTCACTTGCCTTGTAAAGAGGTTTAATTATATCTTTATTCTGCTTCCTTGCTTTTGCTGTAGCGTATGTTTCTATCTCTCTTTCCTATTCTTTCTTATATAAATTTAGATAATTAGATCCTAAAAAGATAAAATCATGTATTTCATGTACTGTTTTACAAACCAAAAAACATTATCCTAAGGGTTGAAATGCAGGTTACTTTTTGTTTTTGTTTTGGTGTGCCCACCATTATCCTTGAAAAAATGGTTTAAAAAACCCCATAAATTATGTAAATACATTATCTTTTTAGGATCTAATTA